CTAGCGCCCACATTTATATAATCATTCGGAAGCCATTATGCTTCCTGGTGATTCACAATTCTTCATGCATGCTACACATGCCGCTAATTCTACCCTTTCTAGTTTCTGAATTTTAAAACCCCCACCAAGACAACAGTTCTCTACTTGCTTAAGGAAGAACTGGTTTGGTTTGCTCATTATTTTCAATGTTGTGTTTCATCCATAATTTGTAATATTTCAATAATTTAATGCTTTAGTCTAGTGAAGGAGCTGAGGAAACTTGGAAAACTGTCTTTTTTGAGAAGATTCCTCACATTGATAATACTGACGTTAGCAATTACATACCGATTACTTATTGTATTTTACCGAATCTGATTACCTTTATTTATTTCGTGTTCCTACCTTCTTAGTAAGCTCTACCTCCTTTCATTCAGGACCTCCCCACTGATTTATTTTTCCATCTAACGTACTTCACAAAAGTAAAAGGACAAAATTATCGTAGTCTCTATTTCTATCATTCTTCCTTCTTAATGAGCCAGACGAATACCAAATTTATCTTAAACGAAAGCTGTTCTGGCCAACTTTAGTAAGACATAAGTATTCAGAGATGTTAAGTTTCTCTAACAGAATAATGGTATATTAACTTTCCCCTCCTGCTAAGTATGTATGTTAACCCCTTAAAAGTTAACAATCTGTAGGAAATTTTAAACAACATGTCTGATGAGATTGGTTTGATCAAACAAAAATTGTGTTTTTTCTTTGGAGTTATTATTTTGGAGTTAATTAGGTCTGGCTTGGTATCAGTATATTTATATAATCCAATGCAGGTGAAATCAATCTTATTTTAAATAAGAAGGAAACCTCTTTCGTGTTGAATGTAGCTACCGAATAGGAGCTTGGCTTCTTCAAATTCTTACCCTCTAGCGAAGAGAAAAACGACTGGCGTATGACTGTAAACACAACTAAGGCAGTTAGAGCTTCGATCAAGGAGAGAAAAGACCTCATTTGACAAGGCTACATGTACAAAGTTTAATAATATTTTCACTTAAACAGTTTGCACACATTCCTTAAGAGCTGTCCAGTGTTCTCAAACTCAAAGCTTTAAAAGCTATAATATAAGTATGAAAATTATATTTCATGGGTATAATGAGCTACAGTCATGCTTCTGGTTAAGCAGTTACAGTCTCAGAGCTACACTCAATTGCTACGCCGCACATGCTGGAAACGTGAGCACTTCCCCGCCTCTGTAGCCTCGGGTGAAAACCCCCACTGATGACGACCATGACAAAAACATTAGGGATAACGATTTAAGGGGATGCCCTTGGAATGTCCGTCCGCTGCCCAGCTGGTTGATGTCCTGTTAAAAGTAAAGGCTAACATCACTGCCGTAAAAGAAAAGCTGTGGACGGGACATTGCGGGAAATGCGGAGGTCCTAGTTATATTTATATATATATACGTCCCCGTAGAAGAGAATTAGGATATGAACAAATGGATATGCCTTTTATGAGCGGCTAGGGGTCGCTTATGTCGACTACCCCGCAACGATGTAAAAATTCTGCTTAGCGATTTTAACGCCAGGTTGGGTAAAAATCTCGGCAAGTGGCTAAAGCGACCTCGCAGGTGCTCGAAATATGTTCGTCTGTAGTACTAGATTCAAGATCGATAATGTCTTGATAGATGGAAGACATGTCTAAAGCGTCTTTAACGTGCTCACGATACGAGGACCTAACATCGATTCGGACCATTGTAGTAGCGACAGCAACACAAGGAAGGTCAATAAGCTACAATCTCAACTGACAGCTGAACGGGTTTCTACTCGACGTGCACTCTTGAGAGCTCTCATCAGCAACTTATAAGGGAACTGTGGGACGGCATTTCAAGCTTAACACGTATAGCTGCAACCGAAATCATTAGTTTTCGGAAAGGTCAAAAGAACAAATGGTACGATGAGGACTATCTACGTTACCGCAATTGACCCGGCTTTTTCCGGCCAAGAGCTGTATTTTTGGATTTCTAACTCTGTTTGGATCGGTAAGTTTTAGATTAAGTTTGCCATCACTAGTACTCCTTGCAGCCGGATTGATCCATAACCTCCTAACTCGTACTGGCATTGAGTTCAACCCAGTCGCGGAGGAATTTCTGTAATGCGTCTGGTGTCAGGTGTAATAATTTCAATAGATGGAGTCATCTTAAGACCTGCTCAGACTGGAAGTGAAACACGAGTTACGAGGCTCCATGCTGCCAACGCACTACTGCCACCTTAGCCTCCCATTCTGATCAATCTTCCGTCTAACCTTCATCGCGCTCCAATCCTCATGCGAGAAGCACTCGGCCACATTCTTCGCAAAGTCTGTTGCGTGTGTCAGACGATCACACACACACAATGGACGATCCTCGTAGCATTGGACTTGTCAACCACGCCACGCTACTTGAGGACATTGAAAAATCTACGTTCTCAAAAGGGTTGAAGAGAAGAGCTATGAACTATTTGAGGGTTCGACAATCATCCCTACTGTTTCGAGGTAAAAATTTTGTATTGAGAAGAATTAAAGAGGGATTCCGCAGGTTGGCGTCCTCCTTCCTTAATTGTTTATAACATATATTTATACTTGGGGAATATGCTTACTACATGCCATAATTTTTGGCGTAAACTCTAATACAGTGCGATCAATTGGCAGAAAACTTTTTTTAACTTTTTCCAAATTAATAGAAAGATGTGCGCTGAAAGTCAAAAAAATGAGTGCCCAGTATAAGAAGGGTATAAGGTTCCAAATGGACTATTAAAAGCTGCAATGTATTTGAGTATGAGTTGGACAGAGAGAAACTTTAAGAGAAAGATATCACGTGACATCTAAAAGTGAGGACAAAGCTATTATTCTCCTTTTTGGAAATAAATCATTGCTCATTCAAAGAAAAGCTTAAATTATTGTACATCTCTAAATACAATACGGGACAGACTTTTGAGATATAGGATCAAACGCAATAGTACTGTAAGCAAACCCCACCACACAGAAAAACATCAACCGCAATTGAAGCAATGTAATATTTACAAACGAGTAGTATTTTGTATTGTTCAACCCCTTAAATGGATAAGAAACGGACAACCATTTATTCTGCTAATGGATTAGAGATTTTGAAGTGCTTCAAAGAAAACCTGAAAATCGTTAATGTATAAAAAGGGTTGACTGAAGACGGCTAAAATGCTGTACGGCAAAAATAATCATGATTGGATACTTGAAGAAGACTTTGATCCGAAACATACTAGCAGACTTAGGGCTCAATGGAAACAAGAAAACCATTTTGTTACTTTAAATTGGCTACAATCAAACGGTGTCAATCCAATAGTCAATTTTTTACCTGTATTGAAAAAAATATCAGGAATACATTTAACGTCAACAAAAGATTTCATCCGACTACTATAAAAGAGCACGCGAAGGATTGAATCAAGCATTGAATAAACGTCAACTATAAGAGTACAATATAAATATTTTCTACAATTACAACATTTTTCCCAACAAACGCAAGTTAAACTATAGAACACAAAAACTTATTTTGCTGAATTATCAAACCTACTTTACATAGTCCACTGTTATGGCGCACAACTAGAGGCGTTTAAACGTTATATATGGATTTCCGTATCCTCAAAACCGGAAATTGTAGAATTATTTATTGAATAATGGCATTTAGATGGAGCGCATGTGAATGAAACAACTATAAATATTTCACAAATATCCTTTTAGCATTTTATGCTTTCATACGGGGTCTAATTATCCGTTATAAATTTTAGGATTATAAGAAACTAAAATAAATTTTTAAATACTGAGAATAGCAACAAATTCGAGCATGCAAAATTATGGTGGAATTATTCGTCAATTTTGTTGGGATATTTATAGAAAAGCCCCATAAACTTATTTAGGACACCAACCATCTTCAGATAGTCCAACCTATAAATTCCCGCTCTATTGTGAACTAATTAGCCTTGCTTTTAGCTATAAATCCGTCGTTTAATGGGAATACTCTAAGCGAAACAATCTCATTCGAAAACTTCCACCACCAAAATACTTGCACTTATAATATAGGGAAATTCAGCAACCATTAAAATCATCCCCGAATTTCACAAAGGCACTGTTTGCCTATACGTATAAGATATTGCGTCAAAGCTTTAAGCGCTTTCAAGCAAAGCTTTTTAAAATGTTCGCTAACGGCTAACGGGAAATTAAGATATTTATAATAAAATTAAACTATTTTAATTTTATGTATTCATATTTCAATCCGTTGTATTTAGAAATAACACAAAAGTTATTCTACTCTAAAAAAGTCCACAAAATCGAAATCGTATGAATGCGATATTCGATATTAGGTGATATCATGAAACGTTATAAAGACATCTAGTGCAAAACTTTACAGAATACAAGCTTAAGTCATTATATTGGGTATATGGGAGCTACAGATGTGAATATAAATGTATTAAGTATTAAATCGGTTTAAGCAATGGGCATCTGACATTCATAAAAAATCTATATTGCATAAGTAGAATTTACCGACGGATGCGGATGTTTTGTCTATGACATACCAAATTTTAAGTGACTTAAGTTGTATTGATTCGACGAAAACTAACAATAAGGCATTATGTGTGTTAATTTAGTAATATTTTTAAAATGAAGAGGTTTATGAATATTGTGGATTCCTAAATTCAGTGCAAGTCATATGAAAAAAATTGCATAAGAAGACATTAAAAACACACAGTATGAATTTTAAAATTGAACTAATCAAGGCAGCTGAGCTTAAAGATATCAAAAGAATGTGTTGGAAATATTCTTCACGAAAATTTTGCTACGCGAAAGCTCTACGAAAAGCGGCTGCCGGACGAGTTCACAGTTAAACGATTCAATTTATTCAATTTAATTGGTGTAAAGTTTGCATGTGCTTCGACTTCGGCGTTTGCCATGTTCTCCGCCCTTCCTCGATCATTTTTCAGCCTATTAATTACTTCGACATGAACTCGTTTTTCTTTTGAAATTTCACTTTATTCATATTTCTATTAACTTACAATGTATCTTCCCGCATATTCATATTATAATTACCACCGATCGATAAACAATATTCATAGCTTTTGCTTATCAAAAAAGTCACAAAACATTTCACATTGCCATTTCGTGTTACGACTTATAAATTTAAACAAAATCACGATAACATACGAGTACGTACAACAAATATACATATTTCACGAACAATGATAACAGTTGCCATTTTTGTTTTTGTTTTTGCATTTGCATTTGCTATATATGTACTTGTATGAAACTATATAGTTTTTATAATTTCTTCTTGTCTTTTGATTTTAGGGATACTTTTTAGGAGCTGCCAAAGACTATAGAGCTGCTACAGGATAACCAAGTCTAGGTTTCTTTAAAAAAATAGCGATGAATATTATAAAATAATTATATGAAAAGAAAAAGTGATAAAAAAGAAATAGGTAACTGAAATAATTTGAAATTTGTGACAAGACAAGGCTTAATTTTACATAAGACTAACAGTGGGTTTGATATGCGGAGCTTCAGTGCCCAGTGTGTGACGTCTCGAAACAAATACTCGACCCGCTCAAAAATCAGTTAAATCCAGACAAAGCTCAGCCTTCTTTCAACAAATTACTTGTTTTCTCATGTATAGGGTTTTCTAAGAAAATCTCAACTGCTTGTAACAAATATTCTTAAATAACTGTAACCTTTCAGTACTTGAAACTAGAATAGACAAGATTCGCTCAAATCTAGTGAAGAATTGCTTAGCTTCATTATTAGCTGAATCGAGCAACTTCATGACAAACAGAATTGGGATGAAGAATGTCATCAATATATCCATAAGACAAACATAACCATCTCGGATCTCTTTTCTTCTGTTATTCTTACGAATTACCTGGATCCTTAAAAAGTCGCCTCGTCAGAATTGAGTCAGCCACAAATCGCTTTGACGATAAATGAAGATTTTATTATTCTATGAGAGGGATCGGAAATAGATAGTTTTCAAATGTACTCTACGATTTTCTTAGTGACGTGAGAATCTCAGAAAGTCTTCAGTGATCAATTAAAAGATCAGTAATAAATATTAATATTTTCGTTAGTATTGCATAATTTGGAAACCCAGCGCAGTAAATCTCCTTAACAACGCATCACAAAAAAAAAACATTTAATATTGAGAATAAGGCACAAAACGGAAAATGTAAGCAACGGAAACTGCAAATTTCAAATAATAGAATTCAAAAAATTTGGTTTTAGTTACTATGACGCAGTTTTCGGCAAATCCGATTGCTATACCTTCAAGTCGGTTCTTTTATTTTAGTTATTTCCCTTTTATTTTTAAATCTTATGTATGTAGTTATGTATGCACATATTAAAAATATATCTCATGTCATTTTAAGAATTTAGATTTCTATCAGCCCTTTTGGTTACGCTGGAAAAACATAGTAATACGCCTAAAAGTATTCGTCACACTGTCTTTTAATATATTATATTTACTTAAGTACCAACTGCCCTTTAGATTTTTGAGTTAAACGCGTTTTATAAGTGTTTTGGTTTTAGTTTTTAGTTTCTAGCACATATCCACTGAATTGCACGCGATTTACGGGTTTCGTAATACTTCAATTTTCATATATTATTTATAACTGAGTATAAGTTAGGGTGATTTTTAGGAGTACATAAAAACAAACAAGCAAGTCTTTGAAATACGAGCGCACATAGTCGAGTTAAAAAATCGGCGCTTAAAAGTAAGCAACCTTGTAGCCTACCTATAGGTGCGGAATTTTACTCGCACTTGGCGCTTAAAAGTTGACCTCGGCTTTAGCTTATTGTTACTGCGAAAAAATATTAAAATCGGTTAAATTTACGTGGCCTACCTTTAGGCGCAAATTCTTACTCGAATGTGTTTTTTTTACTTCAGTTACTTGGAATCATCAGTATCTAAGTATGAACGTTTTTATGTATATAAGCTAATTATCAGTATGAGTATATTATTTTATGTTTGCTATGAGTATGACATGCCGTTAGCAGCAAGTACTATGAGTAAAATGTATTATCTCTTTTTTAAAACCTTTTTCCGCTTATTGTTGGTAACAACTTTGTTTCATGCTTTGGGTTCTGTGAAATAAAATGGGTGTAGTTCTGTAATTCGTTTATGTCAGAATTCTAGTTTCACATTATAAACACGACCACCACCATCTCAGTCAAGCACACATAGCGAGGTCTATGTACATAAAAAGAAAACTTAACACACCCACAAATTGTTCGACCTGAATACAAACACTTAATGCAGCTATTTACAATACTTCATAAACCACAGCAAATTTGTCAAATATTATAGCGATCTTGCAGCTCTAAAACGCCTTTCAAGCCATTTTAAATACTTTTGGTCTTTACTAAAACACCTTTCAGTCTCGCTCCACAATCATGTTAAAACCCGCCACACAAACCGTTTAAATCTGTTGCATCAGCTCTATTGGCGTTTGGGGATCTGTGGTGCTTATGCTCGTCTCGCCAGTCAAGTCGCCCAGAGCCGCCGTTGAGACTGTGCTTACAACGGCGGAGACTACATTGTCGATGGTGCCCGCTACCGAACTCAAAATCGCCGCCGCTGTGGAGGTCACCAAGGCGGTAGTCGGCGTTATTAACGTGGGCAACAGCGGCGCCACCGTTGTGCTGGTTGTGGACACAGCTGCCGCTGCTGTTGTGGTCGCCAAAGCGGTTGTGCTCGCTTCGGTGGTCGGTAATAATGTGGAAACTGTTGTGGTAAACAGCGCCGCAGCAACGGCTGTCGTGTTCAAAATGGGTGCAGCGGTGCTTGACGTGCTAGTAGTGCTGATTAGTTGCGCATGCGCGCCGGTTGGGTCTAACATTGAGGCCGGTGCGTACGGGTAGGTCGGACAAGGATTGGTGAGCTGTGCACCCAGCATGGATTCAAAGACATAACCGATGAGTGAACCAGTCGTTAAGCCGACATTATACGAAAGTGTCATCATGTTGCCGGTCACTTCTTTAAGTGTGCCGGGTACTTTGGCTGGCGCCAGCATCATTGGAAGACTGCCAGCGAGACCGTTACTAACGCCCAAACCGATTGTGAAAATAAAAGCGGCTGTCTCGCCAGAAATGACAGGTTGATGACGCGGCGCACAGCACAAGAGCAATAACGGCACCAAAACGATGCGTAAACCAGACATTAATATTAACTGACGTCGTGACCATGGATATGGCAGAGCAGCCAGCAGTTTTCCAATCACGTCCGCCGTATTGAAGGTAAACATAAGCAGCACTGGCAGCCATGTGCCGAGACTGCATGAAATAATCTCCGATTCGATGCCAGGATATAGCGAGAGTGTGACGCAGTAGGCCAGCGCGATGCACACCATGTATGGATAGATCGCTTGGGCGACGGTCCAACGTGAGACAAAGCCATTTTTCAGATCGCTCAGCTTGCCGGGCGTACAAGTACCGGGCGTCAGTACGTGCTCTACCTTGAAAGCCACTGTGGTCGGCGTAGTGGGCTCTTGCGGAGTGCTTGGCATATCCGGCAAACTATTGAGTCCCTCTATTACACTTTCACCAGCCGTTGGATTGGAAAGCTCATAAACGGGATTGCTGAAGCTCAGTGCGCCTGTTGTGCTATTTGTCGCATTTGCCGGCGGCGAAGTGGGCTCCAGCGTTAATACACCGTATTTGGCAATGGGCGTGTCACCGTCGAGGTCATTTTGCTGTAAGATTGAATAATACAGAAATTGAGTGGGTGAGTTAACTAAATTTAAAACAAAGTACAAACCAGTCGATCTTCATCAGGCCGGAGTACAATCTTTGCACACGCCTTCATATGGTACCGTACAAACGGTGAATTAATAGTGAATAAATGCATTGCGTAACTGAGTAGCACATACAGTGTCGAAGTGAGAAAGAAGATCACCGTTGATAGTCGGTCATTTTGTATTAACATCTTTGTGACCACACGATTGGAAGATACCAAAAATCCTGCAATACTCTCTCCAGCCATTACCGCTTGGGTATACTGCTTCGGTAACATGCTAGCAAAACCATAGAAGCTAGATTGTTGGACTGTGGATGAAATAATAATGATTATACATGACTTAGGGTTTCGAAATATGATTTCGTTCAAAATATTTAATAAATATGGAGAATCAAGGTTAAAAAATATAAAAGCATAATACGATTTTACAGAACTGAATTTTAGAACTTCTGAGCTCTACAAATCTATAAAAAGATCCGCACCACAACTCTCTTGGGAAGGTAAACATAAGATTACCTAGAGTTCACTCGTTTTTCAAAGTTTAGTAATGATCAATTTAAATTTCGTCATCATTGAGATGGGATGGAGCCATCTATAGAAGTTCACTCAAATGAGAAAAGTTTTCTGAGCGCCATTTACTCGGAAGTGGCCAGAAACGATTCTTTTACATATAGCACAAGCAGCTCATGACTTTCTACCTTAGACCAAGTATCCTCAGGATAGCAAAAAAACATCTGTTTGAAGGCGAGCTAAAGTGAGAAGGCGAAACAGCTCTCCCGAGGGCATAAGGAAGAGAAAGTAGCCCGAGGTATTGGTGCCCACGGTGTTAACGTAAAAAACTTCGGGATTCAAATTTCAATTTGCGAATCGCTGCTGAATAGCAAAACCATTCCACAAAAAAAAATCTACGGTCCAATATATTCAGAAATTTTAATAAATTTGTATAAAACATAACAAACTTACTTTATTCAACGACTTAGCATTTTTAGCTTAAACTTTGCACCCTCCCGTCCACTCCACCTACCTGTGCAGCCGATGGCCACCAAAGACACAGCAGCCAAGTTCACTGAGTACGCCGTATTGGCGGCGAACATATGAAATGCAACCTCACAGACGGCCACAAAGATGAGTGTGGTAAAGGACACCACGTAGCCGAAAAGAATACGCACGCGAAATGGCGCCAGCGATAGAAAAACGTTATTGAGTAGAACAGTGGCAAAGGCGACAATTATATACGTCATGGACATGTCCAATGCCACGGAGCGCCCGGGGAAGCGTGCCTGCCAGTAGTCGGCAGCGATGATAAAACTGCAATAAAAGAATTAAAGGAAATTAGACATGACTTGGAGCTGGAGAATAGACCAAAATAATATTTACACAAAATTAGACCCATACATAAGCCCTTATATACCTATATCCGTATATGTATATCTGGCAGATAGTAATCACAGCTGAAGAATTGTTTATTTTTATTGTTGTGGGATTGCGTGTTTCGGTGTGAATGCCTTTAGTACCGACAAGTGGGTGAAATCAAGGCTCATTATATCTACATACTACGTACACATGTGTGCCTCAACAATCACCTCGCAACGACTTTTTGCATCAGAATAAAGAGAGTTCGAATATACACGTATGAAAGTACTTAATGGCATTATTGTTGCAAGTTCATCGCAACAACACTTGCAGGTAGTAAAATTTCCCAGAGAATATTTAATAACCACAAATAACACGAGCTTGCACTCAGTTAGTCAATCAAGGCGCATGGAATTGTCCGTTACTTAATGAATTGATGAGAATAAGGACTGAGTAATTATGTAAATATTTAATTGCTTTCAACGTAAATACTGTCTGCTATCGTAAGTCTGGGCCACTCTTCTTCACTCCTCTCTTTGGTTCTTCTCCGTAATTCTTATGAGATATAGTTTAAAGGGAATAAACAGAATAAAAATGTTTGTAGTATTACAAATTAAGATCCATTGTAGCACCAAATCAAAGACAGCTAAGGTTGACACAACAGCGCGATCAAACTGGTCGAGTTCATTCTCAAATAACGATATGTCAGTCTTACAAATTAAAAATATTTGCTCACGGCAAACAACTAGCACCAATCGTCATGGGTTTGTTGGCACAGACATAGACATAGGTGGGCAATTGACTGGGCCATTTCGTGAGATAACGCGTTCACCAAACATGGTTTTCAATAAATCGATTGTGACCATCGCTGTGTCGCTTGTGGCGCCGCCCGGTTGGGACCATATATTGTCCCAGTCCATATCATCTAATTCGGGACAAAAATATTCAGTTCTCATTGAGCGGTAGCGATACCCTTTCATAGTAACTGGCACCATGATCATCACGGAAGAAGTACGGTCCAATGACACCACTGGCTCATAAGCCGCACCAAACCGTAATTCACTCATATGAAAGTGAGCCTCATCGGAGAAGATAATCTTCGTAAAAAATGGTTATCGTTTTCAAGTTCTTCGAAGGCAAAATCAACAAATTCACGATGTTCACGGTGGTCCAATGGCTTCTGTTCTTAAGTGAGAACAATTTTATATGGAGCCCAAATAATTTCGTCTGGTTTTGAAATAGAAGACTTCGTCAACGTTTCTTATATCTTTCCATAATGAAATTGTAAATATTACTGAACGTAATAATACAGTTCATGACATATTAAAAATGGCGGAAAAGATACTTGAAAATCATGTCATCCCTTTTGAAAAACCCTTTACATTAAGAGTTGGTCTAAATTTGGCATCAATATGTGACAATGACTAAAAATTTTACTACGAAGATCAATCAACAATCATCCCAGTGAACTGAACATGATGAACCCAAGCCAAAATATCTATATTTTGCTATGCGCATGGAATTTTTTCCATCGACTAACTAGAAGAGGGTACTTTTTCACCACGCCGACTATTATATATCGTTACAGGAACATTTAAAAAGCAAAATATTGGATATGCTTATTGCATATTGCAAAAAACCGAATTGAATGAGGACCAAATTTCATCAAGGCATCACAACGCCTCATAAATCAATGAAATCAAAGCCAAATTTTAAGACTTATGCAACGAATCTGACTGCTCAGGCCCTCACGACCCAAGAGAATGCTCGCGGTAATAAAATTTATTGGTATCAAAAAGACTGATTTTGAAACTAAAGTACTACAAATAAAAAACTTTCGAATCGGAACTATGTTGAATACTGTTCGCCAGTTTAGTCAAAAAATGTGTTCTTTTTAAAACGGTTCGGAGTTTTCACAATGCCTGGTAGATGGGAGAGGAGTTAGAATAGCAGAAGCTTATTTTAAACAAGTCAGTTGAAGACTATGCCACTAGGCCCAAGGGAATGTTTGTTTATATAGTAAGATGTTTGTATATACCCCATGTGTACAGGTTCAGTTTAATATGATAAATAGTTTTACTGAGCTGGATGGTATGTTTATTATACTACGTGTATATAACAATTCAACTCTGCTACATGTTTACATATGTGTATGGGTCATTTAAGCCATATTCACTATACAACTCACCTGTTATAGGGCAACACAAAGCCAATACCAGCGGCCAACAATGCTACATACACGGAATGTTTGTGATCTTTGGGTGCGCGTACGTCCGCCTCCGGACTGTCCATGGGCTCATGCCGTATGCCGGCGCCGCGACCTTCTAACGGTTCATAAGTTGTTGCCTGCGCGGATTCCATTTCCGCTTTTTAACAATTCTATGCACTCTCAAGGTGTACAAATGTTCTTGATAATCAGTGGATAGACGATTCAATGCGAAATTGTTGTCTTTGTTGCAATAAGGGACACATTCGCTGCCCGCAGCACAAATGCAAATAGTTTAGTCTACTTTGCGGCGCGCAGGCGAGGAAATTTACTTAAGCGAAATGCCGATTTTTTTTAAGTCAAAACTAGAAATGTTTTTGCTTTCGCAATTTCTCGTGAAATCACAACATCGAGTAACGTGTTTTTATTACCGTTATAGTTAGTACAAATTTACCGAAGAAGAGTAACTCTATTTTCCGCAACTCTTTTCATTTCGCGATTCCGCACTGTAAAAGCGCTTCCACGTAATCACTTATGAGTGTCGCAATTGTTGACAGCTTAAGTAAAAAGCCAGCAACAACTTGCGCGGCTTTAATCGATAAAGAAAAGGCAGCGTCAACACTTTTACTACTCAAGCCCTACACACCCCAAAATGCCCAAAATTTCACTAACAAAATTCGCAAAACTTCACTGCCTTTCGGAGCCGAAATTTTCTGAATTGGCAAAACATTTATTAAGGAATACTTCCATAACAAATCTCCTTACATTTTGCACATTCCTTCACAATGTTTACCACAATTTCGATTTTTCCTCCAACATAAGCTTCACAACATTTTTATGTCTGCTGGCAGAGCGTTGTGTATTTTCCTCACTACGCTTCAGAGACAAGCCTAAACTTTCACTTAAAAACTAGTCTATTACTTAATTACTACTATCCGTTTATTAATTATGCTTTATCACTGAATTTTATGAAGTGTTTCAAGCAGCGCGAACAGTTTTGTGTGCTTTCTATACCGTGCAATGCCAAGACTTGGCTGGTTTTTTCATTTCCTCAGCGCGCACTGCGCAAGTCTTGGACGTTATTGATTTTTGTTATGCTGTCATTTTCAAATGCTTCAACTGTCAAAGGTTGTTGTGGCTTCTACTGCCCTTCTCATTTCTCTTCTGTGGTTGTTTTTGTTTACTTCACCATAAATCAGACGAGCAACAACGTTTTTGTTGTTACTCTTCTCGTCATACCTTATCAGTGGATTTGTTTACAAACGGTTCTCGCCGCAATATAGCGGATTTTCACTGAGTGTGATGAGCTTAGGGTATGTTCACATTGAAATACTTTACGGAAATATTTTCTTAAGAAGTACAAAAAGAAAGAAATTAAAAGAAAATTGTATGAATAATTTAGAATGTTTCGCTTAGATAATGTTTTGATAATCTTCACTTTTTTGTTACACATCAACTAAATTTTAAAATTATTTGTCGAAAACTTCCGACAATCACCTCTGCAGTTATCACTTCATTATTGCTACATTTCTTTCCAGCGGACCTTCTCTTGAGGTCTGAGGAAAGAAAAAGTCAAAGGCAGCTCAAAGTTGAATTCATGCAATTTCGTATTGATTTCGTCCCATAATATAGGTATGAATTCAGCCTCCTTCATTGCTATAATCGGGTTTATTAAATAATCTAATACATTGCTCAATATAAATTAACAGAAATATCAATTCGTTGTTGTCCCTGGTCACTTTGCAATAAAGTTTTCTCATACCCAATTTTTAATGCGCGACAAGTTCAATAGCTGTACATTCCTTGAATACTATATTTAGAGAGTCAACTATTTCAATCATTTCCTTTTTGAAATTTTCTAAATAGGAGTCTTTTAACAGAAAAAGAGCGGATAAATTTAGCTAAGGATATTAGTCTCCGGGCGACACACATTGCGAAATCATTTTGTTTGTTAGTTATACCCTAATCAATAAAATACCCTAAAACAATCATACATATATTTATTTCAAACAATCCAGCATATTAAAGATCCAGAGATGTTGCAAATTACATACATCGAAAAAATTTTTTCTAAGGGGGTTTGACAGTCAGTCAGTCAGTGACATCTGTGCTAAATATCTCATCAAAATACTTATTAGTGTTTAGTACACTCACGTTTTCTCAAATACATAAAGTGCAGGCGATTTTTACGATGAGTGAAATTATTCAACACAGAAGTTCCATTAAATTTGTGAGCGGAATCAAATTTCTGGGACCGAAAGTTCCTTTTTGTGATAATTGTTTGTCGCGAGCAAATTTGCGAGAACACGTTGACGACGCACCATGTCCAGGACGGCAATCAAAATCAACTGAAGATCAAGAAAAAGAATTGGAATTACTGACATCGTTAGAATATCGGATTGAAAGGTCCAGTGGAAACTATTTGAAAAGAGCATTTGAGCCTCAGAAAAGTGAAAGCACCATTGTTTCTTCATTTCTTTCAAATAAGAGTATCGGATTAACGTCTGTGAAACAATGCTTTCCGACTACCGGGGTGCCATGAAACATATTATTACTGGCGATGAGTATTCTATCCATGCTTACGACCCAGAAACAGAAAGCAGGTCACAAGTCAAGGTTATGTTGACACTTTTCTTCGATTATCAATGTGTTGTGCACTCCGAATTACTTCCGATCAAACTGTTGGAGGATGGAGTCATATGTAGAAGTTCACTCAAGTGAGGAAAGTTCTCTGATCGTAATTCACTTGGTAGTGGTCAGAAACGATTATTTTACATATGGCTCAAGCAGCTCACGACTTCCGGTCATTGACCAAGTATCCTCTGGGTAACCTAAGACCATCAGTTTGAAGGCGAGCACGAAATAAGGACTACGAATTGAGGCCAAGCACCTGGAATGACCGGTCCCTTAATTGGGAAGATACCGCTGCCCAGCTGGTTGATGTCACTCCGAGGTCCTAACATCGACTCGGATCACTCCTTGTTGCAGCCAAGATTCGCACCCTCAAGATTCGCCAAAATACGCAGGTCAATAAACACAAGGAAGGTTCAACGTCGAGAAGCTGCAATCACAACAGACAGCCGAACGATTTTCTACTCTACTTCTACTTGCCCTGCTGCTCCCTGAGGGTACTCGTCAACAACTCGGTATAAGGGAATGCGGGATAGGATAGATACCAAGAGTTGAAGAGGGAAGCGAGACGCATTTGCAGACAGAAAAAGAGAGAAGCCGAAATGCGTGAATATGGAGAGCTTACTAAGCTGGCCAACAGGAGTAATGCTCGAAAATTCTACGAAAAAATGGGGCGGCTAACAAAAGATTTCAAGACCGGAGCTTACTCTTGTAAAACCCGCAAATGTGATCTAGTGATCGATGCCCAAAGTATACTCAAATTATGGAAGGAACACTTCTCCAGCCTTCTGAATAGAAGTGTGAGCCAGGAAAAGGCGAAACCGATTCCCTAATCGATGTCGATGGAGCAGACGTTCCATTGCCCGACCAGGAAGAAGCAACTATCCATTTAAAAACAAAAAAACAAAGCGGCGGGGGCCGATCGATTGCCGGCCGATCTATTCAAACACGGCGGCGAAGAACTGAGAAGAAGCCTACATTAGCTTCTTTGTAAAATATGGTCGGACGAAAGCATTCCCAACGATTGGAAATTAAGTGTGCTATAGCTATTTCACAAAAAAGGAGACTCGACAATCTGCGCCAACTACCGTGGGATTAGCCGCCTCAACATCGCTTATAAGGTTCTATCGAGCGTATTGTGTGAAAGATTAAAGCCCACCGTCAACAAACTGATTGGACCTTATCAGTGTGGCTTCAGACCTGGAAAATCAACAACCGACCAGATATTCACCATGCGCCAAATCTTGGAAAAGACCTGTTCAAGCAGAATCGACATACACTACCTCTTCGTCGATTTCAAAGCTGATTTCGACAGCACGAAAAGGAGTTGCCTTTATACCGCGATGTCTGAATTTGGTATCCCCGCAAAACCAATACGGCTAAGTAAATTGACGTTGAGAAACGCTAAAAGCTCCGTCAGGATCGGGAAGGATCTCTCCGAGCCGTTCGATACCAAACGAGGTTTCAGACAAGGCGACTCCCTTTGGTGCGACTTCTTCAATATACTGCTGGAGATAATAATGCGAGCTGCAAAAATACATAGAGAGAGTACTATCTTCTATAAAAGTGTACAGCTGCGGATGTACGCCGATTATATTGATACCATTGGGCTTAACTACCACGCCGTTAGTTCTGCTTCTCCAGACTGGATGACATCTTCCGCAAGGCGATATATCTCCTGTCATCACACAAATAGTCGTCGTTGACCAACCAACAACAATGTCAGCCCTCAAATCCAACGCAGAACAACTCTTGCAACAAAAACTAAACTCTGTAAGTAACTCATTGTTCCAGTCCTGCTATATGGTGCAGAGGCATGAACGATGATAATATTTTCGAAAGAAAGGTTCTGCGGAAGATTTATGGTCCTTTGCGCAATGGCAGCGGCGAATATCGCATTTGATGGAACGGTGATATGGACGTGTTATACGACGATATTGGCATAGTTCAACGAATTAAGAGAAGGAGGCTACGCTGGTTAGGTCATGTCGTCCGTATGGATAAAAATACTCCAGCTCTGAAAGTGTTATACGCAGTACCGGCCGAGGGAAGTAGAGGAAGACCTCCACTCCGTTGAAAAGACCAGGTATAGAAGGATCTGGTTACACTTGAAATCACCAAACAACGCCAAACGGCGAAAAAACGACTGGCGGCTATAACTGTATAAGCCAATAAATAATAAGAAGATGAAGAAGACAAAAAATATTAATTCAATAGAATGAAAAATAAGTATCATTCAAAGCTGTCTCCATACAATACTGTGTGTCAATTAAACCCGAACATTAGTTAGGATCGATTTCCCACCTTTCGAAAATTAAGATTTTTATTTATTGAAGCGGTAAGTTAATGATATTAGAACGAAAAGAGTAACTTTTTAAACGAAACTTAAACAATAAGTAACTAAATACTACATAAAAAACGAAAGTTAATATCGGAAATATACAAAAACTTCCAAATTCAAGAAATGCTTTCGAACACACCAAATATTAAGAATATGAAAAATTAAAAAAGTAAACTCTATGGCCATTCATCGCTTTAATTCGAGACTAACGGTATAGCGCTTCTATCGAAAGTAGTTTCCAGCAATGGAATTTGTGTATAAGTCTGTTGTAGAGCGAACTGCTCACGTTCGGTCTGTCGCGGGTTCGTGCAACGCATGCAACTGCCAAACAAACGTAACCAGCGTCGTGATGTAGACCTGCCACCCGCGCCACCACACTTCTGAAGCGTCGACCTGCGCGCGCCTTGCGTAGCGTCTACTGCTGTTGAGATATCCATTGTGGTGCTGTTGGAACAGTGTGCAATATACAAACCCGACGGTGAAGGAGTTCGCTGACCACGATTATAATGTAAACTGCGTACTTTCGGCACAAACGACGCATGTTCACTGAGTTCGGCTCTGTAGCGCTTACCACGTGCTGGTTTCGGCGACGAAGACAACTCAATCGCTCCGACATCAATGGCCGAATCGGAGCTGCTCGGCTGGCTTGTCCGCGAATTATGTTGTGACTTATCGCTGTTGTGGGTCGCAACCGTTTGAGATTGTGCTTCTCGAAACTTAAGAGAGTTGCTACGCTTGCGTAGTGAGGCTACAGAGAAAAAGACTGGGTTAGGAAAGATATATTTTAACTGATTTGACGCCACCTACCTTTATCTGTGGCCGAACGCCATTCGGCACTCAACGCATCCGTATAGTTGCTGAAATTCAATGACATCGGTTGTATGGCTGCCACGCTCTTAATGTTCCGTTCACATGCCTCTAATGTACCATCCACACATTGGTTATTATTGGCGTCCGGCGAGTCGGGTGTCACAAATATGTGCATTTCATTATTTGGTATACCGACATGTAGCGGAGACGGTGATGGCGGCGGTGGAGGTGGTGGCGATTGGAGCTCGAATTCTGTCTGTGTCCCCTTCGTAGTTTTTGTGGCGCAATAAAGCAAACCCTGCAACGATTGCCGTCCGGTGCCCCAATAAGGCATACCAGACGTACTCGAGTGACTGTACCCAAGCGAACCGCTTGATATGCCGTTCAATGTATGACGACCACTAACATTTCGCTTCAGCTGATCCTCGGCGGTACTCAGCCGTACACGCAAGAAGTCCACATTTTGTCTCAGACGCGTAATTTCACTCTGCTTCTCATCCAGCTTCAACTGCTGGTAGTCATTGTACGATTGTAAACGATCGCGTTCGTCTAGTAAGAGCGCATAGGTGGCTTTATCCACTGCACCAACTTTATGAGTGCTGCACAAAAGGTTCTCCCCACTCTCGTCTGTCTGCTGTGTATGATAGATCTCTGCCTCGTCGTCGTCATCGTTATCAGCGGCGCCGCCACTGCCGCTCTGTGTAGACATAGTCACTGATGTAAGCGCCGTTAAATTGCTGCTGGACAAGTCTGCGCTCGCATCCTGCTTCATTTCGTCCTCCTCCTCTTCAACACCATCAATGACGCGTACAAGCGCTTGGCTCAAACTGTCCGCCATCGCGGTCACGCCACGCTGCAACTGCAGCCTCTTCAATGTCTGCGGATCGTGCACCAATGCTAATGGCATGGAGTGTTGTCTTTGGAAGCGGGCCATCTTGCGACGTCGCTCATCCTCGTTGCGTATATTTGCGATATATTGTCCAACTTTACTCTCGACATGCTTGTAGCGCCGCTTCGTGTATTCCGAATGTATGTCCTGGTAAGAGCGTGATTTATGTTCACCTCCAAGCAGTTGTGCGCGCGTTTCACCCATGTTAGTGAGATCAGTTTGATCGCTCTTAATCATGCGATGATTACTTAGCATGGCAGCGTTACCTGGTTGCTCTGTAGCGGATTCTGCGGAGGAGATTGTTTGGTCAGCGGATGAACTGTATATGCTGACATTGTGCACCAAAGTAAGTGGACTTTTGGTAATTTCACCGTTGTAAAGCTTTTCTTGTTGCCGTTCACGCAAGCGGTGTGGAAACTGAAACCTATTAAGTGGCGTGGGTGAGAGGTCTGCCTCGAAGAGTTCGTCGTGTGGAAAGCTTTCATCCTGTATGCTCATTTTCGGAAACTGTCGCTGAAACTAAGTGAAGTCTGGCGATAAATAGCTTTAACATAGGTTTTGTAAATGACAACAACAATAAAAACGCGTTCAAAATGTATCATAAACGATCTAGCACTCCTTAGTTACGAGTAAAACGAGTGAAAAGCATAAACATTAAAACGAAATTTGAAAACTTTGTTTTGCATAAATATTTGGAAACGCGATCAATAAAACAATTAAAACGAAAAATAAATCTCGACGCGACGTAATTTAATGGTAAACAGATATCTCGACGCAATGACGTCTAAACCGCTGTAATAAGGAAGCACATAGTAAATAAGTCCGCAGAATAAACTAACGGCATTTGGGGCATTAACACTGTCTAATACATAGGTAAATAGATGAATACGTATATACGTGGGTATATAGAAATAAATATGTATATGGATATTAGGGTATGACTTAAAAACTAAAATATCTTACGAAATGTTTAACGGATCCTTCTTATTTTATTTTATTTTTTATTATTTTTTTTTTTTTTTTAACGTAACAAGGATATGGTTTTACATTTCATTCAAATTGTAACTAGTGACTAATTTAAACTAACAAGCAATATATATGTTTTTTTTTCATAATTTATAAGGTACAACAATAAAAGCTCTATTAAAAACTTTATTCAAAAACTAAACTTTGTATTAAAAACTAAATATTATAATATTTGTTATTTGCTTAAAATGTATTGAAACGTTGTTCTTTTCAGTCTTCTTATGAAGATGATATATAATATTGTCAATTATTGCGAAAGCATTTATTCAATAGTAAATAATTTATAATTTTAGCCCTGAACAGGGTATATTAAGTTAGCGACGAAGTTTGTAAAGGAAAGCGGAGACCGTATAAAATATAACAACTGGGTGATTGTGCAAGAACTGAAACCGCTCGACATTCCCAAATCGACATCGCTTCGTTCTATGGGCTCTTACAAAGTTCCAAGAAGATCCCACTTTTCGAGACAAATTTCTTTCAGCGCCTAAGACCCATTTCTGGCTCAATTGGTATGTAAACAAGAAAAATTGCCGCATATGAGACGAAGAGCTACCTGAAGAGAATAGGAGCTTCAATTTCATCCAGAAAAACAATGGTTCGGTGTGGTTTGTGAGCCGTTAGATTTTCCATGTTAGGATATGTAAAGTCTAAAGTCTATACGGACCTTTTCGATTCAGGCCTTGGAGCAAAACATGAAGTGTGTCATCCGCCTGTTACCAGCCGAAATGCTCAAACGAGTCATCGAGAATTGGACTCAACGAAATAACCATCTGAGACGTAGCCGCGACGAACATTTGATACAGATAATCTTCAAAAAAAAATGCCAAAGAATGTTCTTTCCAGTGATAATAAACATTCTAATTAAATTTAAAGTTTCTGTGTTTTATCTTTAAAAAATTAGGGAACTTCAAAATGGATAAACCTTTATATAATATTAATGAATGCTGAGTCGACTTAGCATGTCCGACAGGTTATACGTGTACCAGTCTATCATCTTATCGATCGATCTTAAGTTTGCACATGGCCATTTCTTCCTAAGAAGTTACCCCATGCACTACAAACAGATTGATCAAAATCAAGTTGTTCTATGGCAACTTTTTTATTATTAATGGTGTTTTTTTGAAGATTGTACCTGCTCGATTAAGCTGTGCAACTTGAATTATTTCCTCAAGCAGTATGTTGAAGAAGTCGCACGACAGGCAGTTGCCTTGTCTGAAACTTTTTGGGAACGAACGGCTTGAGCAGATCTTCCCGATCCTGACGGAGCTTGTGGTATTGTTCAACGTAATTTTTTATCAATATACGTTCCTTAATTGACTAACAACTAACGAATAAAATTACACCGAGGTCCATTGACCTTCAGAAATAATGATGTAAGCGGTCACCTGAACTTAGTGTGTGACTATGTAGCCCTTTAAGTGGTTTAAATACCGGCCGAAACAAAAGAAGAGTTTTGATTAACGCGACGAGGGATGTCATATTTCTCCCAATGGACAATCACCATAACGGAAATATAGTCTAACGGAATTACATAACCTAACGCTTATTGACAGGTCCTTTTGTAGATATTATGTGGTCATCAATTGAACCAATTCAAGTTCCGTTGGAACCATTTAGATCTAGTACTTACAACAATCAATCCAGTGGACTGTGCTGATATGTCATCTGGAGGAGAAAAGTGAATCTAATAACTCTGAATCTGAATAACAAGCAGGTCGCTGGACTCGAATTCACTAAGAAGTGGAAGTGGCGACGGGCAAAAGTAGCAAGGAGCATCAGTCAGCAAATGTTCGAATGACCTGTGATGGACAACGCAACCTTTTGAGAGTCTTTGCCTTTTAGTGGAGTAGCAAGGAAAAACAGCAATCTTAAGCATCCGTAGCACATTTGCCCAGAGGTTATTCTTGTCTGACAAAGCAACTTATTCGCTTTGTCTGCGATTTGTGAAACTTTTACAAAGTAATATCATTCCCTGCTAGAAGACTTTATGAAGGTATTGATCGTATGTTAAGCAGTACACAGTGTCATATGTATCTCTCAATATTTTCGAGTTGGATTGCGATAGGGTGAAGGGTGTCTCCGCGGTTTTCGTGTTAACAACATTCAAATGTCTGACATTATGACTTCCAGTAAAAACTTAGCGATTCCAACGAGGTTAGATCTCCGCCCTTGGCCGGATGAAATCCATAAAATCAATTTCGGTTACGTAGAACCGGCTGTTGTGGGAAAAGAAGTTAATAATCGAGAGTAACCCCTGCGCGGCTTCGTTATGGATACTGTAGCAGGTTAAACTCCTACTTATGGACAATCCATATGTCCAGCGTGTAACGAGTCCCTGCATGACACTAACCACCTCTTTGTATGCCCTGCTTACCCTACATATCTGACACCCTCCTCCCTATGGTCCAACCTCTTCGAAACATCACGTCTCCTAGACCTACGCTTGGATGGCGTCGATGACAACTTATCTAATCCTTATCATCCTAACGAGCTTAGATAATGTTACAACAACTTCCAGTACTTAAAGTCAGGCCCTAACTGGTGGCTGAGGTCCTTTCAAATTGCAGTCATTTAACACAAATGGAAAAAGTACAATTATGAGCTTTTTTTATCGATCCAAACGGGGCTACATCGCCGAAAAAACAGGCCTTGGCCGGATAAAATTCGGGTCAATTCCGGTGCGTAGAACCGGCTGTCGTGAGAATGAATTATGAGCTTATGGTATGGTATTTTAAACTTGCTACGCCAGCCAGTTAGGCTAGAGTGTCCCATACTTGGCAATGTAACTATTGTCTAATTGTCTTGATCGATGGAAACACCCATCCACTGAAATAATGATGAGCTCACTCTCTGTTGTAGTTATTGTTGTAAAGGCATTAAATATTCCGCAAATTTAATTGAGGAAGGCTGTCCTGCGCTTGGTCGGTCATAAATCCGACTAGCTCGCGAGTAGGCTCGACTGTCGAGGAAACAAGGAAATCCTTCGGTGTAGAATCGCTTACAATTAGGAAAATCCGTAGTACTTCAGCTCAGGCTTACTTTATTTATTTCAATTAAATTGATTATATAATATATAAATACAATAATAAAATAAAAACAAAGTGCGTACAAATTCAACGGTAATAAAATATATACAGAGCCACTAATAGCAAGATTTTACAAAGCAATGTTTGGCATAACCAATCGCTCTCAAGGAAATACTGTAGAAATGATTTTAGTTTTGCAGAGAATTTTGAAGATAAATTGTTTTAGTAATTTTAATTGAGCATATTTGTAATTAATTTGCGCTTCGTGTAACATTATAACAATTTGCATGTTAATTATTGAAGTATTTTTTTAACAAAATAATATAATAATATGCTCTGATAATATTTGGTAAGTGTACTAATTGGTTATTGAAGCTAATTTGATAAATATACTCGTATGTGTGTATTCTGTGTGTGTAAACATGCAGGTATATAGTAGTAATAGGTTTATATAAGGTTTACGTTTGAAACATATAAAGAATGCATATATTATATAAGTATATAAATGGTATATATGTAAATATTTTACGCGCAAGTTCAGCGGAATGACTAAGAAACGTGTCACATTCGCACACTATGAACCGAAGCAGTCTAGTCGTCTATGTTTTATAAGTTGTGACGTAGTTTGTGTTGTGTGAGTTGCTCTACAGATCAGACGTTATGTAAAAAATTGCGAACAAACGTATTTAGAGATTTACTACTGTTGTTATTGTAACAGTTACTGATTCTTCTTATGAGCGCTGTCATAGTTGGGAGGTAGAGCCTAGAAAGAAAAACTTAAATGTATTAATAACTTTTAAAATAACACTAATTATGTGTACATATGTACATCATAGGCTGGTGGCAAGTCGCTCGGTGCAGCATTATTGGAATATTGGTTGTAAGTTGTATTGTGGGCGCTAGCCATTGCCTCGGCTTCTTTAGAATCTGTGAAATCAAATTGGATTAAATTGGAGTAACTTCAAAAATATTAAAACTTATACCTTTCATATGAACAAAGCAAATCAGAACAGAATAAAAGTTAGAACTGTCAAAATGCATAACAATGCTTACATTTAAATCAATTTTATCATTTTGTTTTAATTTTCAGTATTGAAATTTACTTTCTTCATGTACTAACACACAATACACACAGAGAAAAAGTATTTACGGGAAAATAACTGGTATTGGTATAAACGCAAAATTCATACAAGGCTGTGGTGTATAGTACGGATAGTAATAATATGTGGTATTACCTGTGGACAATAAAATTTAAAGCGTTTCAGTAAAATATATTTGCGTGTGAGAAAGAGTGTATCTTCTCGGCTTTTTTTGTGTGTGTTTTGGCAAGGTTTCAAGGTTCAAAATTAACAATTAACAAAACTCAGAAGTTCAAAAGAGCGTATAGTACCTGGTAAGAGATTGATTTTTGGATGTATGTTTTTGCGACGTTAAATATTTGTAGTTTAGGCGGTTGCATACTTGTGCGACACTTTTTTAAAACACTGCAGGCGAAATTTACAAAATAAAGTAATTAAATAAATACTTTTCAAATTCAAGGCTCGTATAACAGGTGTTAAAACATGTGTGATTGATGCACTGGTGTTAGAAATTGAAGAATTTTCGTTTGATACCAAATTTTAGATAATGTTAGGTTATGATGAGAAAGTAGAATTGACTCGAAATAACTGTAACCATTATTAAATGCACATATTAGTATTTACTTACTTGCTGGCGGCATGCCAAAGCCCATTGCACCGGCCGCAGCTCCTCCTGGTGCACTGCCTGGTGGTGGGTAACCTCCCGGCTGAGGATAGCCACCTGGTTGATGACCGGGATTGTAAGCCGGATTGTAACCAGGGTTATATGATGGATTGTAGGCACCGGGGGCGCCCGGAGGATAACCGCCTGGCTGGCCGTATCCACCAGCCGCGTAGGGTGGTGGTTGATTTCCAGGTGGTGGTTGTTGTTGTGGCTGTTCGGATGGTGGTGCTGAAAAGCCGTTCCAAGCTGGCGCATCGTTGTTTCCGTATTGAGGCTGGGGGTTGCAAGCTCCTTGCGGCTGATGTGGATTGTAACCAGGTTGTGGCTGTTGTGGATTATAGCCTGCGTATGGCTGTTGTGGGTTATAGCCGGGTTGCGCATATGGTTGTGGTGTATAAGCTGGTGCTAAGTATGGGAAAGTGCGCGTGGTGGCAGGAGGGACACAAAAGTTAGCATTTTAAAATGTATTTAAGGTATCTATAAGCAAGCGTTATACGTATATATATATATATATATATATATATTTTTTTTTTTTTTTTTAATCAATAGAGCACCGAAACCACTAACTACACATATACATATATAAGCGGCACACTATTGTAACAAAAGCCGAGAAGTCTTACACGATTTCCACGTATAAAGAATTATTCAAAAATAATACTTCATTTGTACTTACGTCCGCCAATTCCTGGATATGGTGGTGGATTATCGCTTACAAACACCGTGCCATTGGCTGGGCCACTGAACGCCTCATGTGTAGGCAGCCAACCGTAGTAACCTGGTGGTGGCTGATAGGCCGGTGGTGGAGCCTCATGCCAAGCGCCTGCTGGCGTATATGGTGGTGGATCATCGTTGGGAGCGCCACCACGATGGTAATTGCTTTGAGCAGTACTAGCTGCGCGTAGCAAAGCCTGACCGTACTCAATCGCTCCACCAGACTTAAAATGCAACTTGAACTTTACCTCGCCTATAAAATTTCCGTTTGGTTGCGCACGAACCTTGGCCTTAATGTAGTTGGCGCCAAAGACTGGCTGCTCCAATTCAACCTAATTACATAAAAATGCGTTATATTAGAACAAACGTATCTATACAAATACTGTATTAATAACTATTTTACATCTGAAAGAGCTATAAAAGGTGCACTAAAAGATTGCAGCTGATCAGCCGGTTTTTTATGGTTAAAGATCAGCCGGTGTGACGTCAGGTAAATACGTCCCTGCTTTGAGCCCTTAAAGACAGGATTATCCTGACCGGAAAAGTCCATGGTAACGCCATCACTATGCAGTAAAATGCTGAGGATAAAAAAGAAATGTTAGAGCATATTATTCACAAGAATAGCGAATAAAGTAGTAATAAAGAATTTGCATACGTCATATACAATTTTATAATCTGACGTAAATACATCAAAAGAGCTAATCTACGTAAGATTATTGATTAAAAGCTAAAAGTATGTCCACAGATATTATTCACACTATAGCTTTCTTTACATAATATTGCATGCTAAATACAATTAAACAAATTAATGTTACTCAGTATGCAGAAATATGAAAATTTGGAGCAAATTTGGTATTTAAGCATTTAACTTACTACTCTCCGGCATGAATCAACACTCCATTATTGGCGTGTGCCGTATTTACAGACATTATTGGGTAATATATTTAACGACTTCTATATTTTAGGTTTTAATATAATTACTATAAAATGAATACGCAATTCTAAAATTTTCTCGAACCACTGAAACCCAATTACAGATGAATCACTTTTATGTTTTGGTATGTTTTGTTGTTGATTTTCGTTAGTTATGAAAAAAATGCCGAAAGGTGTCGCAAAAGACCAAACATATGATTCTAATGCCTGTAACACAAATGGTACGTCGAATATAAATGCATAGATTGAAGTAAATGCAAGGAAAATAATTATCACTTTGCAACCAAATATGCTAAGGAAATAGGCATTCATGGTCGTAAGACCGTAATCAAATGCAAAATCACCTACGAACATCCTAACGCTACTCCTATACAATTATTGCACAACGTTATTCATGAAAAAAATTATTTTTTACTTAGTTTGGACATTTCAATATTGTCAATTACTTTATTAGTTCAAACAATTTTATGTTTATATTTAATAATTATGATATTATTTTCTACTTAGATTAATTATGTCAATTTGGCAACAGCTTAGAATTTTGTGATAAATGTGGGAAAGTGAATGTACTAAAACTATCAGCTGATAAGGTGGACACAAAGCAACAGCTGAAAGGCGTTAACGGGGACCTGTCAGATTGCTCAGGAGTTGAGTTTCAATTGCAATACAAAATTATAGACCACGACAGGAAAATGGTTGCATGTTGTTATTTTCTAAAATTTCCTAAAAATTTTGCCTCAAAATGTTAATGATTAACGAAAATTTTCAATAATTTTTTAAATAAAATCAGATATTTTAAATGTAGATTCTTAATAGAGCTGATATTATCGGCAAATGTAATAAAAAACTAAGTTTTATAGTTGTGCCTCTTTTTAAGTATGGTAAAATAATGTATTTTCACCACAACAAATTTAGTAGAAAATAAGCAACCATATGATAAAGGAACTGAATACAAGTTTTATAATTTTCAAAAATTAAATTTCATAATAAATTAATTATGTCGGGTACTTTTTATAATAGAAAGGCACTATCAAACTATCTAACCATCAACATTCACACTGAAGACCTCCGAAGGAAATAATAAAATGAGCATTACCAGCACAACGTTAAATTGTAGCAAGGTAAGAATTTTGTAATGAATAAATAAAAAACAAATGAACAGTTCGACGTACTCAGATACGTACGGAGTCAATAGAAGACTCTGAGCACGTGTTCTTCCATTGCCCTCGGTTTCTAAACATAAGGGAAAAGTTAGAAACAGCACTAGGTGGTAATTTAACGGTGGAAAATTTGACTTTACCTATGTGCTAGTCCTCTGAGAAGTGGAAAGCTGTTCGCGAAGCGGCAACTTCCATGTCAGTCCGTCTGTGCTATAGAGGAGACGTAAAGTGTCTTGTCGCTCCCATGAAGTAATACCTTATCTGGTGGTTCCAGATTCCAGGTTGTGAGGTCGGTGGTAAACTAGACTTTTGAAAAGAAGGTGACGCTAATATCGGTGAAGGAAGTGTCTAAGGCGGAGCGCACCCTGAGCGGGGTTATGAGATCTAATGAACTATGCTGGTAATGCTAAAAGTTTTTGAAATGAAAAATGTGTGAATCTCATGTCTTAAAGTCGTACATGAACGAACATGTTTAGTGTCAATTTAATCATAAATAATAAAGGTAAATACCAGTAACGGTATTCCATTAATTGTACACCATACCGACAGAAAATTTATTATTGCAATTTTCATAATATATAATATATATCATTTACTGTATTTAATTAATATATAAAGTATAATTTTAAAGTCTAAATATACTCTTAATTCTGTTTTTACCCGGTTTAAATATAAAAAATTCTTAATACTTTACTCGATTTTATTTCATTTATCACAACCCAAAATTTTTTGAGCTTAAAACACAACTTTTGTGAAATATGTATGTCCATATGCAAATTGAAAGAAATTTCCTTTTTGCAACCAAGTATAATATACATAAAAAGCACAAATTTAGAAGAATGCTCTCTGTGTTTTTACACGGGTTTTTCTAGAACCAATCTAATTTGTAACAAAATTAATAATAATACTGTAAGTTTTTAAGTGAAGAATTTTAAAAGAATTATTGTACATATTTTCACCGCAAAGTGTTGAAATATATAACGTCAACAAAAGTTAAGATTAAAATTGACAACTAAATTACAAACATGAACCATATTGTTATCTTCTTGACCACGAGTAAGTTAATTAAACACTTTTTTATCTCTACAGAGATAGTATAATTTAATTATTTTTGAAAAGCAATAAGCATAATTCCATAATCAAAATTGAAAATACATGTATATAAATATAGCAAAATTACAGCGTTTCTGGGTTTTGCGTAACCCTTTTTGGTCTATCGCCACCCTGACTCAGAAAAACCAGCATACTTGGCTTGGCTTCGTGGTGGAGTTTTGATTATGGGTACTTCTTTGCTTAGCTTATTCATTGACAAGTTTTGTTGTAGATTTTCAGCTGTTTTGGAAAATCTATCGAAAGGTGTCGCGAAATACTAAGCAATGGTTCTAAGTCTGTAACAGAAATAGTACGTCACTAGAGTATGCAGGAAAGCTGGGTGAACGCAACGAAAATAGATATCTATTGGCATCCAAATATTTTAACAATTTAGTTATGCATTGTCACGAATCTGTAAGCAAACTGAAAAGATGAGCTTAACATGCCACTATTACCGAAATACAAACTTACTCTTATTATAATAATAAAAAAACATTGCATTTACTACTTTCTGACGGTGTGAATATTTTCAAAAACTTTAACATTATTTGCTCCAAACGTAACTGTTTACATATCCTAATTAAGACAAATTAGTTCATTTTTAAAAGAAACAAAAATTTTAATTGCACTTAGTTGAATTATGTTAGGTTGGCAGCACTGGCAAATTATATTTTCATTTCAGAAATAGAGAATTCTGTAAATAGTCGTTGTGGCAAAATAAAGATTAAATGAAACTTTTCTGGTGAAAAAAGAGAAACCAAATGTTGCAAAAGACACATTTTGAAGCAATTCAATTAGACGCTGTAAAGTTTAATGGATTTCAACTATAGTAACTTGGAAAAAATGTGTAAGTACACTGGCTACGTAACCGGTGAAAAGTATTGAAAATCCAGCACTTGCAGAGATTATTCTAAACTATTTTTTTAAGCATAATCCTCCTTTTTGAAAATATGAAATAATTTTGATCGAAATTTAAAGTTTTTTCCACTAAAATATTATATTTTAGTGCATTGCAAAAGTACAAGCTCCCTTCATTTTTTCAATTACTACCGTCTGCATTTTCGCATTATTCTTATTTTATTTTCTTTCATTTTGCTTTTGTTGTTTTTCGTTTCATTCCATTTGTTTCGGCCGCTTTGCTAATTCTATTTTTATTTTGATAAACAGCTGATTTTGTTATCATGTCTTTTGTTTTGATTACCATTGTAAACATTTGAGTTTTTTTCGCATTTTTGTTGCAGTGCCCTTACTTGGTTCCATACCTGGCGGGAACACCCTAAACAATAATCAGAATTTCATCAACCAACTCGCTGCTGCAATAAGTACCGCAGTTGGTGCAGTGAATGCGGTATCAACCAATCCCAGCCGCAATAATATGGCAGTAACTACAAATATGCGTGATCGAACACCAGAACCGCCACCAGCTCCTACATTTACTTTGAATTCACCAACCACAGTAAAACCGAATCGTGGTACCGCACCAATGGATATTGAAACTGAGTCGGAGGCAACGTCTATACCTGCAAACGCTAGTCATAATGGAACTACTACTGTTCACACTGCAGCCGATCTAAATTTGCCAGTTGATAAGCTGACAATGAGCGTGCACGGTGCCAATATGTTTATGAATGGTTTTATACCGCCAGCGGGTACAGCTGGTGGAATTACAGCAAATCCCTACTTGTTCTTTCCTTCAGCTGCGCCAACAAATGCTGCCTCAACATCCGCAGCTGCAGTGGCCACGTCAGCGGCTAATCAAATGTTTGTGGATCCGACAGCAATGTTGGCAGCTATGCAGCAAATGCAACAAAATTATGCTGCTAGCTTTGTCGGCACTTTGCCTAATAACGAAAATTGTGTCAATGGTCAAGCCGGTTCTGCCAATGCCCCTGGTAAGACACGTTACTATTAAATAATTCATGTAAAAGTTAAACTAAATAAATATTTTCTATAGTTAACAGCATGAAAGAGGTGATTAAAACCAAGAATACCATACTTTTTCCACCCAATCCGAATGCGCCACCTCCCACCACACGTGAACGGCCGCCTGGTTGCCGCACGGTATTTGTCGGCGGTCTGCCTGAAAACTGTACAGAGGATCTGGTACGAGAAATATTCGAATCTTGTGGTGAAATTACTACACTGCGTACATCGAAAAAGAATTTCTGCCACATACGCTATCGTCACGAAGCGTCCGTTGACCGCGCCATCTATCTCTCTGGCTATCGCATGCGCATATCTAACTCTAGTGAACCGTCAAATTTTGGACGCCTACATGTTGACTACGCGCAAGCCCGCGATGATCTCTACGATTTTGAGTGTAAGCAGCGTCAATTACAACGTGAACAACGGCACAAGGAGCGCTTGTCCATCGATCGTACACGTTCGCAATCGCCGCCACCCATACCACATTACAGTGATCATGAAGCATCAATGGTAGCCGAGCATTTGCGTAGCGGCGAAACTTTCGTTAAGGCCGTACAAACAATTGCAATTTGGCTGGAGCGCGGCGACTGCACAAAACGCAATGCCAACATGTTTTACTCCATGATACAAAGCACACACGCCCATGTGCGGCGTCTACATACTGATAAGCAGCAGTTGGAAGATGATCTACGTAAAGCGCGTGAAAGCTACCGCAAACAAATGCTGACTATGTCCGCACAGTGTAAGTATCAGACTTGTCTATTTGCTTTACATTCTTCAAAGTAGTTGAAAATTAGTTTAGCTGCGCGGCGCTGAGTAACTGCATTTGCTCGCTTTATACTTATTTAGGGTGGTAGGCGCAGTTTCGCAATGAGTTACTGTGAATTTTTCATTTTTTATTGCAAATGGAATATTTGCAAAATTTAGTTTTTTTAGC